AACCTTCTCCGAATAGAGGGCGAGGAAAAACTCCCACAAGACCAGTGCAAAGATGGCATGAAAATAACGGCAGTGGCCATTTCCGGGATTATTCACCCGGCGCCAGGCCGTCAGAAGATTCCAGGCGTGCAGAAGTTGACACAAGACACCAGAGCAGTTACTTTCGGCGGTCATCACCAGTCTTCAGCAAACCGACCTCTCGAACTCCTCCGTCTCAACCTCCGCGAAGAGAACAGACTGGTCATACTTTGCAATTTCGGCACTCAATCCCATCCTCTTATCATGCTTCAAGGGTAAACCCAGACAATTATGTCTGTACAGACCGTCGCGGCCGGTCCTCTGAAAGAGATTCCACCGCTCCCCAGATGCAGTACGAGTCTTCGACTCGGAACAGTCATCCAGACTACAGTTATAAGACCGAGAGGCCGGTGAATGACTCTTATGCGTACCCTCATGCTCACCAGTCCAGCGATATGCGTCGATCGGAAGAGACTCGTGGATGGTACGTATATTTTGTCAGTTTTCAAATTGTTTTTTAATTATTATACATATGCAAACGTTTCAAGCATTGCTCTGAGGCTGTTTGAAAATTGTTCGAAAGTTGTATTAGACGATGAGTTTTCTGTCGGTTGTAAATATATTTATTTGGAAAGCCTTTCTTTCCCCCTTTACGAGAGGAGAAAAGCCTTTCGAAATAATATGCTTTTATTAAAAAAAGAAATAGCATCGTTTACAGATCATCGCAACGACTAATAGGACTCCGATTTCGTTTTCGCGTTAATGCTAGTAGGGTTGTCCAATAATAAATGCAGTATGGGGTGTTGAAGACTTGGTGAGCATTGAGCTATTTATGCCTGGGAATTTTATTATTAGACTTAAAACCATGAACGGCCGGCAGGCCACTTCTGACCGATATTTATTACAAATGACAGATTCCCGGTATGAGTTATAAAAACGAAGAGAATGTTGTTAGTAGATAGCAGCTGTTATATATGGCAAACCGTCGTCAAATCTTTGCATTCGAGAATGGTTTTTCTTTGTGAAAATTTCGGCTTCACTGTGTGCCGAGTAATGAAAGGTCCACTAGAACTGTTTTTGACCCTGTCAGCCGTCACTCCTTGAGTATACCATTGTGCCAAAACCCCACTCGAAGACTGCGTGCTGGGCGCTGCCTTGTAGATGCACAAGTACTACTGTTTACCGCTTTAATGTCCATTAAATTGCCGGAAATCTATATTAGTGTTTTTGCGTCATATGATAACCATAAACGGTGCCGATTCCAAGCACTGTAGGTCTTTGTAGACTGAGATCGCTTGAAATTAAGACTGCTCAAGCGAGCGTAAGGACAGTTGTTGGTGTGAATGGTTTCATGATATTAACGGCATATGTAGGACCAGGGCTTCTATAATGACATTCACCGACTACATTTTCCCACTTAGGCGGATTCCCAATCAGACCAACATCAGTGGCAGCCGTCGAAGTTACGTTGAACGTTCGCGTTCTCGGTCACCCGTCTCTCCAGTTCGTCGTCATTCAGAGAGCCGACGTGATCCAAGCCCGGCTTCGTGGAATCGTGGCATCGACTCAAGCTCCGATTATATTTCCTCGACTGCAGCAGCCAATCGGGCTTCCTACAGTTCAGATATGTACGGGCGTAAGAGCAACGGAAGTGCTGCTGATCAGGACTACAACCGGGGGAGAAATCACGCTCAGTCTCAGCGAGCCTCTTCAAGGTCCTTCTCCAGAGTTATTGATTATGGCCATCGTTCAGGTATGTTTTTACATTCCAAATACACTTGCACCGGAGCTCCATTCAATACTTTGTCCTTGCTCTCACAATCTTTCTGATAAACGAACGCCTAACGAAAGTAATTGAAGAATGCTGTTTGCATGCATCTCTCGAAGCCGTACATACAAAGTTTTAAAAAACAATGTGCACATTTTTAAATTGCCAACTATATCCTGCATAGGTCGGCCTGATGTTTGTGAAAACGCTAAGGATTAGCCAGTTACTCAGTTAGCGTAACCCGGCGAGCTAATTTATTCTTTAAACATTTCGGAACAAATTGATTGTACAAAGACTTGTCCGTTTTTCATATTTTCAGGAAAATTAATAGCAGCTCTTTCGCGTCCATAATATTAGTTTGGAACGCTAAGTTCTAAGTTTTGAAGGTGATATCGATTAATAAAACAACGTTCTAGGGATAAACACGTAAACGCGTTGGTATTTTAGTCACTGTCATACAACAGTAATTGATAAAAAAAATATACTTAACCCTCTAAGAGTGGCGTGTGTCCGTAAAAATCAAGGCGATTACTCTTGTGGATTTAAAGAAGCGTTGGAACCTTGTGGGACCGGTCCCCGTCAGCACTCCGTCAATAAGCCACGAATGATGGCGGTAGCGGTCGACGAAATCACTGACAGATAGTTTATCAAAAAGCCTTTTAATGATTTCTTGTTTGCACTGACTTCCAACGGTTCGGTTGTTTCAGACTCACTCACTCGTAGTGTATATTGACTGGTGAGATCAGTTTTAGCCCTGGTAGATGCAAGGCATTTACTCAAAAGTCCTTCCGTTGTTCGTCCGCTAGAATCACGGCATTAATTAGCTGAGCTACAGAACTCTTGAGTTAACTGTCGGAGGCAAAAGCGGCAAGAAAACATAGAGGTTAGGGATCAATCAAGCCTGTAATAGCAGTTCGGAGGTGACTGCAGAGGCTTTGCGTGCCGGCACCAAATCGATGAATCTATGGACGGAATTCTCATCAGAGGCCCAGGCTTCAGTTAAACACTCATTCGCTGTTTCGTCGGGTTATGTTTGTGTATGTGCGTTCCAGGCATACATTCACTGGGTCCTGTGTGGTTACGAGAATGGTCTAGGCACGGGGTGTACTATCATTGACAGCCGCTACTATTTTGGTGCAGTTACGTGGCCGACACGATAGTTATCTTAAGGAGGAACATACTGTATAGTTTCTTAATTCGAAGTGTATATTGACTTGACTTCAACCGCGCATTCATGTTCCAATGCGAAACTTGTTACTTATTTAGTGCCCCTCTTTGGAAATCTATAAAATACTAGTGTGGTACATTTCACCCCTCGCCGGCTAGCTAGGCTTTGTTACTAAACCTCGTATTTTTTCTATTTACAGATACATCAGCGCAATGGCAATCACAGTCGAGTGGAAATTATTACGACACTGGTAGTAGAACTGGTGGGGGCCAGTGGCGATCAGGTTACTACTCTCGCCCGCATTATTAGCCGATTCTCCAACCGTTTTCTCAATTATGACTCTGTGTACTTTGATGGCGCTACTTTGCCGTCAACCTATTCCACTGTAAAATATGTTAACTGCTTCCGTCTTTTTAACACAAGGCGATCGCGTTTGCCTCAGTTTTATTTGTTCGTTTTCTCCAGATACCATGTTAATCTAATTCGTCGCGTTTGAAAAGCAAAAATCGGGGTCTTTTTGTGGAGTGTACTGATAAACGAGTCAATTATATTCGCTCCGTCTTTGGGAGATGTAGTAATACTATTTTAATCGTTGTTAAGGGCTTTCGCTATTGAGGGGATTGCTCGCAGATATCAATTATTCTATTTTGCCCGTCATCACCCACAGCCCCGTGGTGGTATTCATATGATCACTTTAACCTTGAAAATAGTTAAATTAACTGTAATAGCTTCAATATACCATTGGAGTTTATCCTTCCTTTTGTGCATATCAAAATTCTTCTCGAAGCAGCTCTGCTGACAACCGCTGTTGCGAAGTAAGGCGTTCATTGTAGAAATCCTGAATAGTTCCGATTCATCTGTAGCGGGTTGTTAACACGAAGGACAGTTGGGATTGTACTTGTTGCGGTTGCGATCATGGCTGTTGTAGCCGGTCTCAATAATGTCCCACACGGTACTTTTCCGCTCGTGATGATCCGTGGCAGCAGACCTGGCCAGTTCGATCCATTCTCTTCGCCAGCGTCGGAACCTGAGTACCGAATATCCAAGAACCGACTCCATGTCCTAACGGACTGAGTCGATACAAGTTTTGCGCTGACCCCCTTTTGGTCGTTTTCAATTAGGTAACAGTTTCGGGTCGAGGGCAGTAACATTGCGCTCGTGAGGCTGACGACGAAGAATGTACCCAAAACAACCCAGTCGTGTTTCTTGGGTGACTGGGGACATCCTTGCGATGTCGCAGCGAGCGCGACTGTCCCATATCAGACGAAGTCAGTGTACTTCAATCAGAGAATGGTCCTGTCTGGCTGGCCAGTAGCCCTTGTTGG